CTATGTTTCTTAAGTGATTGCACAAAATATTAGAATGCTTCATGAAGGTCCAATTATATGGAGATTTTTACTAAATTGTGAATACATGGAGGATTGGATTTATAATTTTTATTTTATATTAGTTATTATATATCTTGTTTATTCATATTTGCAAGTTTCAGATGTTTCATTTATAAATGATATTTAACTTTATGAATGATATTTAACTTTATAAGCTTACTCGGAGAGTAAGCGGAAAACACGATATTACTTGACGTGTATGTGATCGTTTTGTTTTACAAACATGGTAATCATGATCAAACATGCAAGAATGAACCAGTTTTGTTTTAACCGCAGTTAACCGGTTGATCATTAATGGGGTTCCAATTTGAAACAAGGATTGTCGATTGAAGAATGTGATTCAAATAACACGGCTTAGTGATAATACGGAAGGTACAGAAGGAGTGATTATAGAGGTGGGACGATTGTGCTATTTTTGTATGATCTTCATATTGCTCTTTCAAAATATAAATTTTCCCTTCTATTATATTTATAACTACCTATTTTATTGAGACAATAGTCATAGAGCTTAAAATTCTTGACTATGAATCTTGATCTGTCCATACGTCAAGTATTTTGTTGTGCACATGTATGTGCAGAATCTTCTCTAGAATCTCAAAAGGAAATAATACCGGAGAAAAAAATAATGAACTCGATACTATTGTATTTCATAGTAAAAATAAATATATTTTTTTATTTTATTCATGTTAAAGTAACAAAAATGAATTCATTATATAGCTAAAAAAAATAATATTCAGGTTTATATGATGGAACTTTCTTGTACACAAAAATGACTCCTACAGTTTCAAAAAAAAGTTCGCCAACATTTTAACTCGTCAACTTACCCTTAACAATTGAATTCATGTCAATAGTATCATAAAAATTTATCATTCTTTATAATTTTTATCCACCAAATCTTCGTCTTTGAATAACCATTATCTCCATCTTCATCATCTTCATTATCTTTATCAGATTCATCTCTTTCATCATCTCCTTATTATTATATCCATTATCATCTCCCACGCTCAAAATAACCTTCTTTTTAGCAGAAACAATTTTAGCATCGTCATCGTCGTCACTTAAGACAATCACCTCTCCCTTCACACCATCTTTTAGTTAAAAGGTAAAAATATATCAGATATCAATAAACAAACAAACAAATAAATAAATGACTCTCAATAAATATCATTGTCGAGAAACACACCACTAACTTCCAACAATCTTGGTCGTGCATTTCTTTCCTCATAATCGTTCATCATCTGATGGTATGAAAATGATTGATTGATTAATGAATGTTTGATAGAAATCAAGAAAATATATACAATCCTTCAAAATTTTTCCTAATAATGACACAGAAATAAACCACCCTCTTCTCTTTCGGTCACATGAGCTGTATCTTTTTTCACACTCGATTCGCTGCTATAACATGCCTATAACGTTTTGAATGTTAAAGAAACATAAATTTAAATAAACGAAGGAATAAAGCTAAAGTTCGAGATGCTTAATGCAAAGGTAAATGGTACAATTTACCATTTTTTTTCTTCACTTTTTTGACGTTACAAAGAAAGTTTCTTTTGGTTTAAATGTTTATTTTATAAATGGGAAGATATATAAAATTAAAGTTGTGAAGACAGGTGGGAAAAACCAATTCTCTTATCATTAATTAGCCTTGAAAATTATATTTCTAGATACGGGTCAACCAATCAAAAAATTAAAATTTGTAGCGGCAAGGCTCCCGGATATGCAAGGCATTTGATCAACAATTCGTATTAGAATACAAGATTATGCATTATTTTTTTGCTAGGCGAGATTAAGTTGATGTTTATGGATTTATGAGTTATAATATTGTCAGCAACATATGATTGCTATAATGTGTAAAAATCTTGATGCCTCCCACTGACGCGCTCGGGGATGGCACTATAGCGAGATGTCATTATAATATTTTACTATGCTGTGTCAGGATATCGGACGGTATCAAATAAGTGCGTGCCGTTATAGAAATTGCTCTTGAAAAACACTAATTTGTGTGAAGAAATACTAGTACTAAATTTTTGTGACCTGGAAAAATAAATAATACCCACAGAGACGGATTCATGAATTCAAAGGAAAATTCTCTCGATTCAGAAGCAGCGTAACATTTAAAGAATCCAAAGCAGGTTAATAAATTCAGTAATTAGCTGTTTTTCAACGCTATTGGGCAATCTCACATGGATCAGAAAAACTGGCAATCACTTGAATTTTTTGCAATTTTTTTTACAGTAGATGGAGATATTGATTAAATTATTGTTTTCAGATGCAAAAATAGTAAAAGATTTTCAGTTTTCGAAAATAAATATTTTTCATCTTGAAAATAAATTCTCATAATATACTCAATAAGAGTGCATCAAGAACGTTGCCTTGTCTACTCTACAGTCCTGACCTAGTTTTTTATTATGTTAAAGCAAACTGAATTATAAGCGATGTTGTCGTCGTTTCTATTAATTTTATTATAGATTTCTATTTTAAAAATTATTATGAAAATCAAATCATTGATGTACATCAACTCTCAAATAGACAAACATTGCCTAAATATAGTAATTAAGATACATTTGAATTTAACAATCATAGGAATCAACGTATTTTTTTTTTTTGCGCAATTAAAAAATGTTAATTACCACAAGATTAATAAGCAAACTTATTACATATACATGTATTTGTGATTTCCGTTACGAGTCCAGAATTTCCTATAACTTGTTAAGGTAACATAGTTTCATGTAAATGTATGTATCACATTAATAATTTTAAAATCCCGCGACTTGCTTGATAATATTAATATATGTACGTGTAGCAGAGATAGAAGTCCCAAATTAAATTAATTAATTTGTTTAAATATTAGATTTTATATAATAATGATAATATAGCAATAACAATAGAATAAAATAATAGAGTAATAATAATAATAATAATAATAGAGTAATAATAATAGAGTAATAATAATAATAATAATAATAATAATAATAATAATAATAATAATAATAATAATAATAATAATAATAATAATAA